TTTTTTTTTTTTTGGATCTCAACTCGGTTGTGGAATATAATGGGAAACGTGTTCTTATTGGTACTTTTTAATATTTATTTATATTAAATAAAAATATTAAAATTTGTATTTTTTTTTTTATTTTTTATATATAGAGACCACATTCGATAGGTTTTGAACATAATTGTAACTTTTAAATAAAATAAATATTAAAGTTGAGTTGAGTTGTGGACAAAAATAAGTTAGACTCTAAAAATTGCATCGTGTAGGTGAATGAAAGAGAAATAGTTTTTAAAAGTTATGGTGTATTCAATTAAAATTTTTAGAGACTTCTAAAAAGTCTACATATATTTAGTTGGGACTTTTAAAGACTTTTTATAAGTCTCTAAAAGTCTCAACGTATTCAATTAAAACTTTCTGTAAGTCTCTATAAGTCACCCGGTCGGTATTCAAAGTAGGAAGACTTTGTGAGACTTTTTAAATTGTTAGATTTTTAGAGACTTTGTAAAAAATTACAAAAGCTAAGTCCTAGCTAATATCTTATCAAATTGGTGAGATTTTGTTGGACTTATGTGACATTTCGTACTCTCTTTCTTTCTCACGACTTTATATCTCATATTAATTTCATACTCTGTTGTTTTACTCATTTATTTCAATACCTTGTATTTTTTTTTTAATTACGTATATTTAACGCGATCTTTTATTTTATATACCTTTTATTTTGGTTATTTTATGTGTGTATACATTTTTTTATCTCATTTTGCTTTCTTGTGAATTTAACTTTTAAAAATTAAATGTTTATATAGTTTGCATTTGCCAATAGTTTATTTTTTTTCTATCTTTTTGTTTATAAATGTTTGTTTTAAATATTACCCAGGAAAAGCTCGAACGGCCTTTAAACAAAAGAATATTAGTTTTATTTGCTAATAGTTTATTTGTTGATATTGAATTATTTTGAGTATTATTGGTAACTTTAGAAGTTCCAATTACTGTCTTTCGTAAAAATATAGTCGAATAATATTTTTCTAATATTGCAACATGAGGCAAAAAAAAAACACATAAATACTAAAATTAACCAATAATTATATAAATATATCTTGATTTTGGTTGATGATAAGTGTCATTGTAGCAGAGATGTATAACACATATTTGAACTTGTGTTCGTTTAACAAGCAAATATAAACCCCTGTTCGAATTGTACTCGTTGAACAAACAAATATAAACTCTTGTTCGAATTATACTCGTTGAAGCTCGTGAAAGCTTGAATCTGTTCGAGTTGTACTCGTTGAAGCTCGTGAAAGCTCGAATCAATTTGCTCGTTTAATAAATCTAAAACTTTAAACAATTTGTTCATATTTAACTCATTTTGGATAACAATGGGTTGATTCAATATTTTTTTAGAGGATTAATATATAAAATCTCTTTTTTTATTCTCTTTCGTTATTTCTTCATGATATTAATTATTATGCTATGTTCATAAACATTTCATGCAAACATAATAGTTTGAACTACTAGTATACAAAAGTTTTAATAAATTTCAAAAAGTTCATTATGAAAGTCTTATTAAAAAGTCTCCAGTGGGAATTCTATCAAAGTCTCAAAAAATCTACAAAAGTCATAAAAGTTTTACGAAGTCCACCAAAGTCACCAAATTAATAATTTCCATTGAACACACCCTCAAAGTCTAAATTCAAGATGACATTAAATGAGACTCCAATTCCAATGAAGTTAAAATTTTGAATTGAAATGAGTGAAAAATGATTGGGCCTATTATCTATAAGACCAGTCCAATCCTAGCCCATAAAATAGCACATAAATAATAAATAATAGAGAAATTTACACTTCTTACTATCATATATAATTAATATTACAATTTCGCACCCATTATATACTTAATTATAAAATTACTAAACAAAGCCAGAAATATTACAATTACCCTGAAATGACAACATCGTACATAGTGGGTGTTATGATAACATTCACATGGAGTGGGACCGACCAAAAATAAAAAAAAATCAAGTAGACCCCACTCACATTCCATGTGAGTGTTACGTACACCTCTATGTACATTTATTATGTATTTGTAGCATTTTCCTTACCATTAAATCACAAAATACGATGAAGAACGGAATAGTCAGTGCCTCAAAAAACATCCCCTATAGTTTTAACATAAAACCAGAATAGACAAAAGATACAAACTCTTAGGAATTTTGCGACCTTCAGTTTATTGGAGTTAAATGTCGGCTGCAAGGAAGTTCCCTGATAAAGAAACCTGCAGCAAGTGAAAACCAACTTGCCAGCATCAGTTACATATCCCTTCTCTTTCCTCTTTATTTGGAGGCAAAGAACTATATGATACTGGGAGAAAAAAATAAAAAAGGGAACCTCATGAAGTTGTTTTTTACTACTCTGCACATACCTTCTCGCCTAGCTTAAATGGAGGAAGGCCCTTATAGGGACATGTACCACACCGAAACGCATCACCAAGACCACACTGCAACCGAGCAAATATCGGACAAGTTTAGATTGCATAAAACTTAAATGCAGTAGCTTAAAAGAAGCAAAATGCTATTAAATAATGGACCTGTGGAAAAAAAAAAAAAAACATTAAAAAATGAAAGACATGTGAAATAGGCATACATTTCCACAAGCAGATTGAGGATTATCCAGCTGATCCATTGTAAGCCCAAGCTTCTCCACTTTTTCCTCTGCTTCAGCTCGTCCGCAAGTACAATTTTTGCAAGCTTTCCTTGTGCTCCCAACTTCACAATCACCCACTGCATGCATCAAATTCCAATCTAAGCCCATAAGACAATATTCCGAGGTCAGAGGATAAAATTGTAAAAAATCGATGAAAGACTAACCAGGTGGTAATTGGGGTTTCGTGAGGTCCTCTTCAGTCAAGAGGCTGTCCTCATCAATCAATTCAGCATCATCATCAATCTGAACTTTGGGTAAGGCTTGTGAGATTTTCTTAATGATAAAGGATGAACCAATCTTCCATGTGGGCTTCTTTCCCGAGACCTGTGACCATAAAAAACGAAGTTGACGTTCTCAAATTCAGTGTGGAATAATCAGCGCTGATGGCAGGAAACTAGGTGATGATCTTAAATTTTAAAAATCTAGATCGAGAAAGTATAATTCTTGACAGCAACATCCACAATGATATCAGTAAAGCATGCATAACCTAGAGAAAGTATAATTCTTGACAGCAACATCCACAATGATATAAGTAAAGCATGCATAACCTAGCACTGACGGAGCTACACCAGGCCCAGGGGGCCCGTGGGCCCCCCTATTTTTTAAAAAAATCTATATATATATATATATAACATAAAGAAAATATATAAAACATGCACAGAAATGCAAAAAATATTTACAATATATTAGTAACTAAAACTTATTTTCTATGCTATTCTAATTTAAATTAATAATATAATTTATTTAAAGAAAAATGCACTTATAGTCCTTATATTTTACTTTTTTTTTGATAAGTTTTTGAAAATATTTATAATGATTTACTCCTTGAATCTCTTAATTTTAACTCAATTGAGTGATTTATAACACCGAGTATTTTGTTAGATTGTTACATTTTAATGGTAATTTTTTATTTTTTTTCCTGTAATCACATATGTTTAACTTTATTTATTTTTTTCTTAAACAGATAGTTCATTTAGGGCTTGTTTGGAAACACTTATTGATAAGTCCATTTCAAGATGGACTTTTTGAAAAGTGACTTCTCAAGAAGTCTTCAATATGAACTTCTTTGAAATGGACTTTTTGTAGGAGTTACTTTTTTAAAAGTCCATTTTGTTGTTTACACCAAACATCTTTTTATATTGGAAATGGACTTTTATAGTCAAAAGTCCATTACAAAAGTGCTTCCAAACATACACTTAATAAGTTCTTATTAATAAAAATGTCATGCAATGTGCTGCAAAAGTTCACTTTAAATCAAATTCTCAACCAAAAAAATATATTTTTCCATAAATTATAGGTGTTGAACTTAAAATATAAATATATGAAATCATTTTTTTGTTTATTTTTTAAAAGTTTGAGGGTGATACAGATTCTATGTTTTAAAAATCTTGATCGTACCCATATCGATATTTATGTTTATAATATATATACATTTTTATATGAAATGAGCGTTTCGACTTAAACCACAAACTTGTTATTTAACATTTAAAATCGGGCCCCTGAGTGAAATTCTAGATCCATCACTGTAACCTAGTATCTTGCCTATCAGAATAGAATATCCAAAATCCAACTGCTCTTCCCTGACCCATTTATACATTTAGCATGAAAAGCATAAATTCAAATAGCAGGTTAATAAGCTAAACTTCAGCTACTAAAATAGACAGCTCAATGAAAGAAAACGAGAGTAGAATTTCAAAATAAAAGAGAATGTTCAAGAAGAAACAGTGGCAATCAAGTCTGTAGAAAAAGTCTGGACTAGTTGAGAAGCTTTACCCCGAAAGAATGGCCACCAGAAGAGGATTTCAAGTCCAGAAAGCCAGCAAGCAGCAACTTACGCTCAAGGGAAGAGTTGACCTACAAGAGAACCCGAACTAATTTTATTTCATATTCTCAACCAAAAAAAAAAAGATTAATGATGAATAGAAATCGCAAGTAAGAAACGAGTACCGTTCGCCCCTGAGAAGTTTCACGGGTCGAAGAAAGAAGTATAGTTCCACCAGGTTTTAGAATTCTTGAGATGTCAGCAAGCAATTGTTCGCTAGGAAAGTCAAGCGATTTACAGAGAGAGACAATACCATCAATTGACGAGGATTCCACTGAAATTAGACCTGCAACGAGACAGCAAAATATACAAGCACTCTAAGCCATGAAGTAAAGGTACTCTAATGAGCTGTAAATCCTTTTTCCAAGGGAATACGAAAGCTTTTCTCGACATAAAATGAATCACACAACATTTTTGTCAACGAAGGAAATACCAATTGAACAAAGTTGAACATCATCCACTATATATCCAGCTGAATCGCAACATCACCCACTCCGAAAAATTATTCCAGAAAATTGTATTATACATTACAGCTATCACACAGATCAACACAAATAAACCAATTCTACCAAGTGCACACGATCCAATTACTACAAAACAAAGCATATTTCTACATATATTAAAGAACTGATAGAAGAATTACTTTGGGACGAAGCTTGAGTAATGACAAGGGGATCAAAATCTTCAACTCCTTCCTTTAACCCCTTAACAGCATCACGAACTGCACTTACAGATAAGGATACCAAATCCGTGACCACCAAAAACTTATCCTGCCCCATTTTCAGTTCCCTACACAAAATTGTAAGAACAAAGCACAACCTCAAACAAACAAACAGTAAATAGATACATAGCCAGGCCCAGAAACTTAAAATCATGGATCGGGGGTCTCTACGGTGATTCTTTAAACAGCAGACATCTACTGTGCAATATCAGCAGTTGGATACATTAAAAGTATATCTAACAGTCAAGAACTCTATTTCTTATAAAATTAGAGAACACTTAAACAAAAACAACACGAAATATATTGGCACCAAAACAACTAAGTTTTCATCTTTCCATTCCAACACAGTGGGTAATTTTTTTTTTAACATATAAAAATATCCCTGCCTATTTTTTTTTATCACCATTGTCATTCATCACCAAGGACACCAAATTAAAGAACCCCACTCGTAAACACTCAGAACAACTTAAAAATTCAAAAGAATGCGAAATAACCAAGAATTAAATAAATTAACCACACTAATTAAACTACACATGAAAGATATAATTAAAAAAAAGTGAAAACATGTACAAAACCAAATAACATTGTCTTTGTAAAAAAATTAATAAAAGAAAAGAAGAATCAATAATTCATACATCGAAATAGTTTACTGCTACCACGGCTAAGCGGTAAGCTTCTTTGGCGGATTTTTTGAGGGGGTGTTCTTACTTTTTCACATGCAAATTTTGTTTTGGCCAAAATTTGTGGCCATTGGATCTTTTAATAGATATGGCACAACAATATCTGTTGTTTAAGTAAGCATCGCAGGGGTCCCATATCCGAAAATCATGACCTGATAACCCGTCATTCAACCACTCAATCCAGTTACCGTCGTCGGAAAATTACAGCACATAGAGGCGAATTGGACCACGGTCGACAATTTGCCGTGGATCCATTTGAAAACCGAAAAAATAAAGAGCATAAATAATTCATGAAAGGGCATCTATCAATCACCTTACAGATGAAGTGAAAGCCTCGAATCTTAGAGTAGAAGCCAATCGCCGGCTCCGATGAAAGCTAATCGGATTTTTCTCCCTCCCAATAAATGATTTTACGGCAAATGCTGTAATGAAAAGGGGAAAAATGAAGTTATGACACTGTACGTTTATGGCTGCGGGGATGGCAATGGGGCAAGTCGGGCCGGGTACTTCAGTACCAGGACCTGCCCCACGACCCTCGTCCTGCGCCCCGACCTGGCCCGTGACGGGTCCAGGGAGGCCGCCCTGCGACCTAGCCCGCGCCGGGGTGGGCCGCCCCACCCTGGCCCGCCCCTTTTTTTTGCCTGCAACATGGGCCTTGCTGGGGCGAGCCTACAACGTGTTTCCAAGTTTAGGATAAAAGGCGCCTAGCAGAGGGAGTTCAGTCTTCATACGCCCCCTCAAAATGAAACCCCAATAACTGGATATTGCCTCAATCAAACTCATTGTATTACCTCAATTAAAGTTTCAAATTTCAAAGAATAAACAGCAGCGTACAAATTGAACAACCAAATCAAACATTCACTTTACCTTCCATTAATAAATTTAGTTTATCTTCAATTGTAAACACAAAGAAAAATGAATTTATCTTTAATTGTAATTACCTTACAAATGTGGAGTCGGCGTCGAGCTCGAGTAGGCGGTGTCCGCGGGACGTCGAGGCGGCGATGCGTCGGAGCGGTGTCTCGAAGACGGGGAGGCGCGAGGCGTGTCGAGGAGGACTGTGTCGGAGGACGGAGGTGAGGAGGACGGTTGCTGGTGCGGACGCGCGAAGGTGGCTGGTGCGGACGTGCGGTGGTGGCTGGTGGCGTGGGGTTGGCCGGTTGAGTGAATTTGAGAAGAGGGGAGTAGGAGACGACGGGAGATAACTGAGGTGAGGTCTGAGAAAGCGAGGCGGCGGTGAATGGAAGAAAAAAACTGATTATTTACATATTATTTTACTCACTTTTATTTCAATTCAAAATTTAACTCAATTTTAACTCAACTTCACTATCTTTAATATTATTGATATAATTAAATAATACAAACCAATCATTCTTACACATAATATCAACTTTAATTCACTATTCATCCGCTCACATAATTTTAACTACCTATCATTTCTAATCATTTCCAATCATTTATCTCTTACTTTTACATCAAATAAATTTTAATAATTTTATTTTAAATATTATTTTAATACATTCTTAAAATTCTACTAACAACTAATCATACACCTTTTTCAAAATTAACTATGATTAACCAAAATAACTCATTTTGAACAAATTATTTCATAAACAATCAAGCCCTAACATTTATAATTATATTAGTTATAGTTATAAATTAAAATATATTTATAAATATATATATTAAATAGATGGGCCGGGCCGGGCCGGGCCGCATCGCATAGGACCTTGAACTGGCCCGTTTTCTAACTGGACCTCCCCGGCCCGTTTTACAAAAAAGACAGGCCGAACTTGCCCCAAATTCTCCAGGTCATATTGGGTTCATATTGTTTTTCATCCCTAGGCTGCTTGGCTAGGGTTTTAGGGTTGTCGTCGACTTTACTAGAAACGTTGATTGAAAGCGTGTTTATGAAAGTGTGGACTCCTAAATTTTTGAAATTCTGTTGTTCGCATTTTAGTTTTTCTTATTGTTTTATTTTAATTAATTTTCAATTTTAATGTAATTCATAAATTATGCAATTAGTAATACTCAGTGTTCTAAAAGTCGCTAGGCTCGACCAGCGCCTAGCGCTTAGGCGGGGCCTATAAATCAATATTAAATACATTATTTTTTATTTATTTTAACTACCTTTAAAATAAAACTATCTCAATTTATAATAAATCGACATACTTAAGTCCAAATAATAATATTAATATATTTTTAAATAAAACAAAGGCGTCGGGGCACTGCCTAGGCCGATTTTTAGAACAGTGGTAATACTTATATATAAACATATAATAAGACAATAATAGGAACACACAAAATCGATGAAGAAATATACCTAAAAAATTATCGTCCTCTCATGTTTTTTTTTTTTTTTTTTTTTTTTTTTTTTTTTTTTTTTATGAATCGTTGTGAATGGAAATAAAATATACCTCAAAATGAATCGTGTTTTATGGAAAGTCCAATTAAACTCGATGGACTTGTTGTGGTATATTTTCTGATATTCGGTCTTTGGTTTGATGAAGAGTATTGTCCAAATTCAAATTTCACCTATCCGTCATTCCATATTCATGAAGTCATTTTTTTTAGTCGCATATGGAATATTCTGCGAAAAAAAAAAAAAGAGGATGGAGGTCCGAGTTTTAGGTAACTGACGTTTAGACTTTAATACAATTAAATTTCGTCAATCAGATAGAAACACAATTATTTGTTTATTAATGGTATTATTGCAATCTTTCACTTTCGGGTAGGATAAAAATTTCGCTAAATAATAAATAAAAAAACTATATGTTATTTTGGATGTTATAATTTGGTCTGCTAGTCATTATTTATTTATTTATGAATAAAATTTGGTGAATATCATTTTTATATTAAACCGAATCCTTTCACATTATTATATTGACATTTTTATACTACCAGTTTCATTTTTATGAATAAAATTTGGTGAATATCATTTTTATTTATTTATTTATGAATAAAATCTGATAGAGACACAATTATTTGTTTAAAATATTTTTTATTTTGTATTATTTCACAAATTTTAATCTTTAAATGGGTACTTTTCGAATTAAAATTTCTCCTCAGGAGGGAGAAAATATTCGTGAAATAGAGCTTCCGAAATTAATCACCAAAATTAGCCGGCGAAGGGCCAGAGAATCACCGAGTGAAAATCCCGGCGAGAAATCCAGTTCGCCGACCAAAACGAAATCATAACACAAGCACGAATTGAGTGAAGATAAACTGCACCGATAACCTCAATAACAGGAAGCTGTTGAAGAGCACCCAGCAACGATCTCGAACTAGTCCAATCGCGGCGGAGCGCCATGGCCGAACCTCGCCGGCAACAGGTTTTGTATTCTTCCAGCTTCTCCCTAGCTCAATTATCGTCATTATGTGCTCGAATCGTTAATTGTCTTAGGTTAATTAGTACTATCGTTCGTGAATTGCATGCTGAGTCGCGAGTTTGAATCGCTCGATCAGGTGTCCCTGCGTGGGGCCAGCGCCAGGGAGATCACGAGAGACGCCCTGATTGAGAGGGTTTATCAGGAGAGGGAGCTCCGGAATTACACCCGGCGGGCAAACGCCGCTGTTTTGTTCATTCAGGTCGAGAGCTTCTTCTTCTTCTTCTTCTTCTTCTTATTATTATTATTATTATTATTATTATTATTATTATTATTATTATTATTTGGAAAATCAGATTTGATATTGTTACTATATGAGTGTGAGAATGACTTTGCCTTGCATTCAGAGGGTCTGGAGGAGGCACCATGAGATGAGAATGGTGGCTCTGAAACTGCGGGATGATTGGGAAACAAGGATGAGCAAATTCTGTGGTGCTTGTGCTGGAATGCAGATTTCGATTGAAATTGTGAGGCCTTTCATTTTCTTTATAAACTACATATGCCTTCGCTGCGGGGAGATCGGAGCTAGAGATAGAGACTGCATGATAAGCTGCTTCAAATTGGTTTTGGAGAATGTAAATTCGAAAGGTATGCTTGTTTGTGATATTTGAGAATGATGGATGGATCTGATAATATGTCTAACGTGTTCGGTTTTGAAATTAGGGATCAGAATCTGTACATTGAAAATCACAAAGAATGACCTTCCTGACTGTATCTTTATCAACAAGAGAAGAGAGTAATATTATTTTCTTGATGTCCTTGAGATATTGTGACGAGCATAAGTAGATTATATGGTCTAGAGCTGCATGAGTGGCTGTTCCTAGCTAAGGATAAATGGATAGTGCATGGAACTGCAGAAGGCTCTTAATAGCTTTCTACACCCTCCATTTTATTTTCTTTTCATTCTTCGTAAAGTTGATGGTTTAGAATTGAAATATAAAATTAACAATTATTTGTATTTGATTTGATTCTCAACAAAAAATGCCAAAGCATTTAATACCAGAATGGAGGGAGTAGCTTTTTTTGAAGGAAAAAATGTTTTTGTTATTATGCAAAAGTAGTTCTAGTGAATGACTATTACCTTTTTGACCTGCAGAAGTTAAGCAGAACTTTTTCTCAATGGCAACCGGCAGCGCTGAAGAGCGATTGATATGGTCTCATCAATCAAAGAAGCTGATTTCCATTTGCTCGTTTGTTCTTTCCGTTTTCGACCACATGCATAATAGTGATCAAGACCTTGTCCTCACGTCAACCGCAATGCGTTTATCTGTTCTCTTAACAGATCCAAAAGGTTGGACTATTGTTGCCGATAATAACCGCAAGGATGCGTATACTGCCGTGAATAATCTTGTGCGGTGCATCGGGAGCAAGAGAAGCGGGCTGTATAATTGCATCAGAAAATTCATTTCAAAATTGGAGGCTCCTTCTGCTTCTCGGGAGTCTAAATCTCGCCAGGCAGATGATTTATTTTTAATAGTTGCCAGTGCAATAACACTTTCTTTGAGGCCATTCCACTTAGCGAGCATGGAAGTGAATGATAATGGCTTGATTGAGTGTGCTGTTGAGCAGTATTGGGTCTCGCTACTCACGATACCTTGGTTTCCTCACCGCTTGCCTGCAGTGCTTGTGCCTGCTTTGAGACACAAGTCATTTTTATTACCATGCCTTAGGGTGTTACTGGTGAGAATTCACTAAACTGAAAAACTCTTGCTTTTAGATTCTTAAATTATCTATGCTTCTTTATATTTTGTTGGCTAAGGATTTTTATTTGTTGATCCGAGTAATTACAACATTTTTTTTAATGTGTATATTCATCTATGATTTTATATCTGTAGCTCATTCTATAAAATATTGGTTAAAAACATGGATTCTACTCATTGAACTTTTTTAGATTACATATATTAAGGAGCTAGAAGTCTGATCAAACCTTGGCAGGTGATGATAGGTTTCGAAGGACAAGATTTTGAAGGAAATATCTGAATTAGATCAGCTGGAGAAAACGTCCATGAAGATGTCGGGCGTTGGTTGGGCTCTGGCAAATATTATTTACCTTACGACAGCAAGTGATATGGGTGCACACAATTTAGGAAAATTCGCTGAAGGTTTAGACTATTCATGTTATCTACAAGTGATTATTTTACTCGCAGAAAATCTACTTGCTTCACTAGAAAACAAAGAGATAAGGAAAAATGCAGAAACCGAAGTCTGTAGTGATGCTTCTACTGAATCGGCTTTTGACTTGGATGGAGTAACTTGTGGGTTCTCAGAAATATCATATATGGACCTTTTTAAGCCTGTTTATCAACAGTGGCATCTCAAGACATTGCTGGCCTTCGCGAAAGATGAGTCTGTGCGTGGCACTAATATTGGCTCATCTGGCGATCAAGAGCGTTCATGGAAATATGGATTGCTTGATGTAGCGTATTATTATTCCTGTATGCTACGGCTATTTTCGATTTTGAATCCCATGTACAAGTCTTTGCCGGTCCTTAACATACTGGCATTTACCCCAGGATTTATTGGCAGTTTATGGGGAGAAATAGAAAAATCACTCTTTCACAAAATAAGTCATGTTGCCAGCTCCCCTTCGCTCTATGCAAATACAATTGTTGCAGAAAAAAGTGAAGGAGTTTCAGAGAGGAGTCAGAAGAGATTTGGTAAAGACAGTGGCAATAAATGGGTTAACGTGTTGCAGAAATTCAGTGGGAAGTTGCCTACAGATAAGGATTGTGTAAATTCAGCGAATAGCCAATTGAGCTTTAGCCAAAGTGAGGAAAGTCCTTCTGATGAGTGGGACATTGAGACTCTGAGGCAAGGTCCTGAAGGCATATCGAAAGACGCACATTGTCTGCTCCTCCTCTTCTGTTCCACTTATTCACATCTCTTGTTGATTCTAGATGACATGGAGTTTTACGATAAGCAGGTTCTATTAGTTCTTTTGATAAGAGCATTATCCCTAGTGCGCATTTACTTCATTTGTTTGGATGGTGAATGATGGATTAAAAATATGATAAGGGTTGGATAAATATTAAGCTTTCTTACAAATTTAGTATGTATGTCATGTGATTGTTTTAAAGGATTATTTGTTTTTTTAATTGTCGTAATGTGTACTTTGATTGATAATAATATGATATAATGTGAAATTTGTCCTTACATAAATATTTTCATAGACTGGCTTTAAATATAAATCATAATATATGATTAAAGTAATAGGTTCTGTTGCAATAATATATTCAAAAACTTGTAAAACACAAGAATAGGATCATTCCATCCTGCCTCTGAGGTGGGACGAACTGGCTTGAAATTTTATCACTGGTCATCATCTTTGAGAGTAGATATGATACTAGATTAGATATTTTTAGTTTATCCAATCAAGCTAAGTAAACAAGCCTTAGTATGCTAAGGTTGCACCATACTCATGGTATTAATAATTATACCGGCATTACATTTAAATAAAACAGGTGCCATTCACATTGGAGCAGCAGCAGAAAGTTGCATCCATGTTGAACACACTTGTCTACAATTCCTTGTCCCGGTTTACTAGCTCTCGGAACAGGTCCCTCGTTGATTCTGCTGTTAGATGCCTTCATTTGCTGTATGAAAGGGATTGCAGACGCCAATTTTGTCACCCTTCTTTGTGGTTGTCGCCTGGTAAAAGTAACAGGATGCCAATTGCTGTTGCCGCCAGAACTCATGAAGTGCTTTCAGCGGCAGATGGGTCTCCTTCCTCGGGCATGGGTTCTGTCGTTACTGTTATGCCGCAGGTGTTTCCGTTTGAAGAAAGGTGGTTTGAAGGTTTTTTGTAGTGCCATTTTCCTGTCTTGGATTTGCAGTTTGCTTTTAGAAGGCGTTGTTTTGGTGCTGATATGTGTTTGTTTGTCCATGGAATTTTTCATTACATGATTGTTTGATGGAAAGAAAAAAGAACTTGAATGGCGTGTTCGCATTTTTAGAATCTAAGAGACGAGCAAACATACAGGAGTATGTTAAAAATAATGAGATTACTAATTTATGTGTATGCACAATTTTATTTCTCAAGTGTGCATGGAATTTATGTGGTTAAGTTCACATTGGTGATGTATTTTTTTTGAACATATTAACATTACCAATGTGTGCATGCCACATAAGCGGTGGACATATTAACATGTTGCCACCGTGGGTAGGTGAGCATTATTGTCTACCAACATTCTTAAATAGGAATAGAGCTGCTGTTTCAGAGTTGTTAGCTTTTTAAGGGTTTCTTGTCGCGATTGTTGATAGTGCTGCTTTGCTTCTAGATTTGTTCTCTTAAATTTCACTGATTAATTGTTTAAAAATACTTCACACCCACAATGATTTTCGTTTTCTTATTTTCACTTTACCACAGACATTGAGATATTTGATACATAATTTGGCAGAGTAAAAATGTTTAGAGAATTCATCAGCATGGACAAAGTATCAAGAAGACTGGCTGGCGAAGGCACTGGACCTAATTCACGGTCAGTTGAGATAGTTATTCGCCGGGGTCATATTTTTGAAGATGGTCTGCGGCAACTGAATTCTATGGGCCCAAGGTTGAAGTCAGCCATCCACGTCTCATTTGTTAGTGAATCTGGCCTTCCAGAAGCTGGTCTTGACTATGGTGGGTTGTCCAAGGAGTTCTTGACTGACATCTCAAAAATAGCATTCTCACCAGAGTAAGTTATGGTTTAGTCATTGCATTTCTTTCCGAAGGTATCTCTGTTTTTTTATTTTTAATTTTCTCTCTCCTGATATTGCTGTGTGTTTTTAAAAGGTACGGGCTTTTCTCTCAGACGTCTACTTCCGATCGGCTTCTAGTACCAAATCCAACGGCAAGATTTCTGGATAATGGAATACAGATGATTGAGTTTCTAGGAAGAGTTGTAGGCAAAGCTTTGTATGAAGGGATTCTCCTCGATTTTTATTTTTCACATGTTTTTGTGCAAAAATTGTTGGGCCGATATAGCTTTTTGGATGAGCTCTCTATGCTTGATCCTGAGCTTTACAGAAATCTCATGTATGTGAAGGTGAATGTTCTATCAAATCACTGGAATTTAATGATGTTTACTGTTATAGTTATCGTCGTAATATTTTCTCCTTTTTTCTGATATAATTAATTATCAAGGCTTATCGCGAACATTTGGGCAATAGAATCAAATTTTTGGGAAGGATTTTTGTTCAGTTACCAATTATATTTGCATTGCAGCATTATGATGGTGACGTCAAGGATCTTTCTTTAGATTTCACGGTTACTGAAGAATCACTTGGAAAGAGACATGTTATTGAACTCAAACCGGGTGGGAAGGATATCTGCGTGACAAATGAGAACAAGTTGCAGTATGTCCATGCAATGGCTGATTATAAACTTAACCGGCAGGTATTCATGGTCATTTGTCATTTTTCTAAGCTTGCGTGCTGTAATTGACTGATTTACCTCATTGCCACCACCGTATTGCAGATACTTCCTTTCTCGAATGCATTTTATCGAGGGTTGACGGACTTGATATCCCCTTCTTGGTTGAAATTATTTAATTCAAGTGAATTTAATCAGGTAATTTACTTAAATGCTGTATGATGCCTTCTCCAATTTGATGATGTATTAGTAATTTTTTGGAAATCTGTGATGGGAACTCACACTCGTTCATTTATTGGAGTAACAAAAATGTATTAGAACATGTAAGTATTAACCAAATTGACCACACCACTTCATATCTTACAGTGAATAGAATAATATGGTTCTTCAAACACATGGGATGTGATCTTACTGCTGAAGATTACATGCTAGTGGACAAGATTAATGAATGCCACATTCTTGCACTAACTTAAAAAAACTGTAAAAATCACAGTGGGCCCATTCATCAAATGTTTGCATATGTGAATGATTTTTTTTGTTACATATTCTACTTTAATTTCCATTTCATGTTGGTCTATTGTTTTTTTTTTTTTTTGGGGGCAGTTACTTTCAGGTGGGGATCATGACATTGATGTTGATGATTTGAGGGAGCACACACAATATACCGGGGGTTATAGTGAAGGGAGTCGGACAGTAAAACTATTTTGGGAGGTATGGCCCACAACAAATTTCGACCACTGGATGGATCTTTTACATGTTCTTTTGTCCGATTATATTTGCTGATTAAATCTATGATTATATTTTTTGGCATATTAACTGTTAAGGTTTGCTTTTGGTTCTTTTGTATTCTTAGGTATTTGCAAGATTTGAGCCAAGAGAACGCTGCACACTTCTTAAATTTGTAACCAGCTGTTCTCGAGCACCTTTGCTTGGGTTCAAACACCTTCATCCAGCTTTTACGATCCACAAGGTATTTTTCTAACTTCATTTACTTTTTTACTTGATTCACTTTTGGTATGGTTACTCAAATACGTGTGAAAAAAATGAGTACCTCGTATTTACAACCTGAAATACAACAGTTTGCTACAAGAAGATTGAACATTGAAAAAAAAAAAAAATAGAAATATTTTGTGTAAGTTGTGGGAAAACTGAAAAGACTCGACAAACATGTGAAAAAGCAGGTGGCTTGTGATGTCCCTATTTGGGCTTCGTTTGGTGGGCAGGACGTGGATCGCCTTCCATCAGCTTCTACATGTTATAACACTTTGAAGGTATGGTTCAGAAATTCTGTTATTATTATTATTATTATGGCTGGTTCATTGCTGGATATGTTTGAATGATTGGGGAATCTCGTGTGATGGATACAGCTCCCGACATATAAACGCGCGAGCACTTTGAGGGCAAAGCTTCTTTACGCCATAAACTCTAATGCGGGATTTGAACTTTCTTAACATCTTGGGATGACAAATGATGAAAGGTGGGTTTGTTTGTTTGTTTGTTCTTACCTGACATTTGACTTCTTGCTATGTACCTTTGGTTGCTACATTATCATTTAAACTAAAACCAAAGCTCAAAAAAAATAAATTAAAAAAAAAAGAAAGAAAAGAAAAGAACTTAGGATTATTGCTGATGATGTGGAAGTACCCTTCCTCAACAGAGCCTGTTACAACTTAAAAAGACGTAATTGTCAATGTCATGTACTGTACCGTTAATTTTGTAAATCACATCTGTGCAAATATATTTGTTTTTAGTGTTCGTCTTTGGTTTTTCTTGTTTTTGCTTCCATTTTTCTTTGGCGCAACAAGAACACAATTACAACCAAAAAAAAAAAA